TCCTTTAAAGGAGCATTCTTTACTCAGATGATGTGCTTTGTTATCAAGATTGGCGAGTCACTGAGTGTCTTGGTACGGCCTTTTGGAGTACGGTGTTGTTTCCGGCGAGATATATGTGAAGGCCCTCAATCCCTCTTGCGGAATATAACGACATATGCATCAGGACACTAAACACCCTTATGTCCTGTCCGCGGTTCTCCGAGTGATGAGAGACGGAACGGCCAACTCTCGTATCGTTTTTTGAGGATAGGAGCTGCCATTTGCAATTGTTTTTCTATATCATAATCCTAGCTAGTGTTCACCGTTTATTAATGGATTAGCACTAAGGATACTCACTTCCTAGGGACTACCTCTATATATAATTGCCAAATTAGGGTCTATTATGTCCAAAAGGGGTGTTCGTACGTGTGAAAGTCCATGATATATTTTTCTATCGGGTACGGCTATTTATTTATAGTAACGAAAATTAACAAAGGAAATAAATGACTGCACTCTACTCTATGGCTTCACCTCCCTAGTGAACCCATAGACTACTAGAGAGAGTTCTAGAAAGTGAAATAAAGTGAGACAAAGAGTTTCACTAGTGAAATAATTTGGATCAAGAAATATTCAACGGGAAAATTGCTTTATAAGGAAATAAAGAAAACGGAAAATAAGAAATAAAGAAAAACTTTCCGTTGGTGATTAGTCAACTTTTTACCGTCGGGAACGCTGTTCCAGCATAATATATGGCTTTAAATCTAAATAGATTTTGACGGATGTGAAGAGTTTGAATATGAAGAATACTATATGATTGGTATGGCTCCGGAAGTCTTAATAACCCGGTCCTCTGGCCATGGGAGGGGACGGGGGGACGGAGGGACGGGCACGTTATGTTGACAATAGAAAACCTAACCCTCACACCAAGATGCCGTCCTCGCCCACGTCCCCGTCCCCGTCCCCGGAGGTTTAAGACTTCTGAAACCATACATGTATGTATGTACACGTGATTTGAGAAGAAAACAGAAAAGACCAGATTGGTCAACTCAACTCATAAATAGACTATACATGTACTTACATGTATTTTATAGTTTAATGGGGCGTTCGATTTTGTTCGTGCTATGAATATTGAGTATTGTATACTACGTATGTAAACAACAATTTTTCGTGACTGTTGCAATGGTGCAGTCCGCGGCCTCTACTCAAAAAAAGAAGAAATAGGATTACGGATAGAAAATTACCAGTAGTATTTACATCTCTATCGTTGTAATTAGGTTTTCCAGAGCGAATCTAAGCAGCCCCAACGCCTGTCTGGAATCTAGAATATCATATGTAGAAAAATGAGTGACAATCCATGATCCAAATCTGATTCACGAAGAAGGCCAACCACACAGTATAGTCATTACAACTCAAGATAGGAATCTCAGAACACCTTACTGAGCAACCTCTTGACCCCTTCACTTGTCTCCGCCTTTCCGGTATCGGCGCTCCCTTTGGTTTTATTCTGTCTAAATTGCCTCCGGACCTCGATGACTTTCTTCTTGCCTTCTTCTTCTTCTTCGCCATTCTCTCCAGACTTGCGCTTTTTAGATGCCGTAGAAGCCTCCATGTTCTTGACCATCTTTGCCCTCTCGACATTCCGAATGTAAGTTTTATTCTCACGGGTTGCCTGCGCAATTTCCGCGCGCATTTTGGATTGACGGGAGGCGTTCTCGTAGGCGATTTGAGCTTGAAGATGATGCCATTTGAATTTAGGGAGATATTTCAGGTTCCAGACATCGTCGTAATAGTAGGATCCCTTTTTACCACCTATTTTATGTCAGTAAAGCTAAATGATCCTGAGCAGTTCAAGTGAGATACGTACCAATGGGGGTAGCGTTGAGAGTTTCGGCGACTAGCTTTGCGTCTTTCTTGTTTACGAATTCGACCCAGCCTTCGTCAAAGTTACGCTTTTTATTGCCACCAAAGCGAACACGGCGGGCGTAAGCTTTGGGATCTTCGGGAGCGAGGAAAATGCGGTTTATTTCGCCGAAGCGAGAAAGAAGTTGTTTAACTTTCATGGGTTTCATGAATGGCTAGTGAATAGTTTAAATTAATAATCATTTTGGAGCCATTGGTTGGGAGAAACTCACAGGAACTTTAGAAAGATATATCACACCGGTTTTTTTTGTCGCTGCTTTGGAGGCTGTAAGCTCTTCCTGGGTGAGTGGCTTGAGCTTATTTGGATTTGTGAAAAGCAGATCGTCCTCGTCCTCGTCCTGCTTCTTTGTTTCCTTCTTTTTTGTTTTTGAGGCCTTTTCTGCCTCTTCTACCTCCTCTCCATCCTCGTCTTCCTGTGATTCCTTTTCACCATCTTCTTCGTCCTCACTCGCTGAATCGACATGGTCGACCTTTCGTCGCTTTGTTGAGCGCTTTGAGATCCCCTTCACTCGACTCTCCTCCTCTTCTGAACCTGCATCATCATCCTCAGCCTCGCTATCCTCAACACCTAGCCAATCCCTCCTCCTCTCCTCTTGCTTCTTTTCGTCTTCGTTCGTGGGTGACATATTTAGTGGTGTTGTAATTGTATACCTGTCGAAAGATATGTCGTAAATCATGGTGGAAATCTCAGCGCCAAGTCTTTTCTGCATGATCAAGGATTCCAAACATTTTCTGTCGGCCAGAAAGAGACCAGATAGTCTCCACACACCTCATCCCATCCACACCCATCCACGCATCCACGCCTCAACTCCCATTCTTTCAACAGAAACATCAACGTCCCCCCCCCCCCCCCCCACTAGTATATTCTACATACATCCTTATACACCTCATCCCAAATCCCTTAACCCCTCCATTCTCTTATAGGCTGTTAAACCCCCTCCGCTTTTTACACCATAGACGATGTCCTCAACGGGAGCTCAAACAAACCCCAACAAGGGCTCCGAGAAATCCCGCGAACACAATCAGGGCCGACAAGGGCGCGATTATAGCCCTGAACAGAAGGCTGCTGTCGATAAAGTAAGAAGATGCAAAGCAACAGCATACTATGAGATCCTCGACATCAAGACGGAAGCGACGGAAGCGGAGATAAAGAAAGCATACAGGAAGCTGGCCTTAGTAATGCATCCTGACAAGAATGGGGCTCCTGGCGCAGATGAAGCCTTCAAACGTGAGTAGAAAGCTTCTCTATACACCCGGGCTCGGGTCCGTGATATCCATCCGAGTTGAATTCCGGAACTGGACTCGTATGATCAGGCCTAGCTAACACGTCGCAGTTGTCTCCCGTGCTTTCCAAGTCCTTTCCGACAATGATAAACGCGCCGCTTATGATCGCCATGGCGGCGACCCGGACAGTCGTGGCGGCGGCGGCGGCTCCGGTGGTGTTCCCCGTGGTTTCGGTGGTGGTTCACCCTTTGGTTATGCACAACCGGCCCGTGGTGGTGCGGGGTTCGAGGGTGAAATCTCACCTGAAGACCTCTTCAATATGTTTTTCGGTGGGATGGGACCTGGAGCAGCAATGTTCGGAGAAGGTGCGGCTGGTGGATTTACTACTTTTGGAGGGCCAGGCATCCGAATTCATCACATGGGGCGGCAACCACGAAGGCGACCAGCGCAGGATGCTGGGGCGCAGGAAGAGGCAGCAGCCCCGGCAGGCCTGGGGAAAATACTCATACAATTACTACCTCTCATAATTTTCTTTATACTCCCCCTCATCGGTTCACTATTCAGCGGCGATAGCGGAGAGAGTCTCCGTGGGCCCTCTTTCAGAACTGAGCGGATACATCCATTCACACTGCAACGGGAAACACCACATTATAAGATCCCATACTGGGTAAATCCCGCCGAAGTTAAGGACCTCAGAGCGGGCGAACTTGCAAAACTGGCTAAACGTGTCGAGAACCGAATTGTGAATGATCTGAACTACAATTGTCAAAGAGAGCAGGAGATTCAGACGAATGAGAGGAATGCTGCTATGGGTTGGATCTTTGTCGACAATGAGAGAATGGCTAGAGCAAATTCTATGCACTTACCGCATTGTCAGAAAATGAAGGAAATGGGTATCAGGAGATATTAGATTAAAAGGGTAGTGTGGTGGTTTTTTGTACTGAAGCGGCCTTAATTTTATGCACTGGTTTTTCTTTCCTTTTGAATGATGTTATTAAGTAATGGGGTTGGTTAACTTTTTTTTGCCTTGCTAAAACGAGATTAAAAAGATGGAGGGAATGGCGTTTTTTCTTTACTTTACTTTTCTTTTTCTTTTCTTTAATGATATCTTTTGATTTTACTCTTTTCTATCTTTTTAAAACCCTTTCCTGTTTTTATTTGGTATTTTATATGGTTTGCGGTTCTGTAACGCTTACATGTGGATGGATGGATGATAGATGAAATAGGATTCGTATATTTAATACCTTGTCTCGAATCAGACTCAATTTGGCTTAGCGTAGTTTTAATGAATCGGCAGACCACAAATTGCAAAGAAGCCGTAGCGGAACGCCAATTTATTTATTCACACAACTTCTGGTTCGAGACAAATTTAATACCTTTCTATTTGGTAATTCTTGACCTATACGCATTTAGATGATGAATGATGGCCTGTGTTGATCAATTGATGCAGCAACCAACAAGGTACATGTATTTATGTTCTGGTGGTCATCTAGATAAATGTACGTACTCTATCTCATGCTTCTTAAAAGACACCTGATGGGATGTGCCACATACATGTACGCACGTGTTTCTCGAAGCTATTAAAACGAAACATCAATAGTCGTTTATACAACCGAGTGAGATTCTGTGCGTAGAATTACAAACTTTCTATAGTTGATCGGGGGAAGTCCGTTGGTCGAATGCGGCGCTTCACTTTTGGTTTTGTCCTCGATTTAGGGAAAAGATGAGGATTCGACAGGCTAGTACTACTTTGGTATCTATCAAGACTTTGAAATTCAGTTGATGCTATTGAATTGCCAGCCAGTACTGTGGATATGGTATGGAGATAGAACCCAGATCATCTCCCATATCCACTCAAACAAAGGAAAGAGTCTCACCTATCTCGCTCTACTCTCCCTTGCCTTATCCCTAATTCTCGCATCCTCGCCCCCCACTCCCTCAACCGTTGCCCTTTCACCACCCGCACCCCTCCCCGTCGAAACCCTATCAATGACCCTCGCAACACCGCTCTGCCCAGGCAGCGGCTCGTCGGGAAGCTGCCCGTGTTGACGCAGGCTTTGGTTTCTCCACGATATCTGTCCACCGTCGGCTTCGCGTTGCATCTTGGCATTGGTCTTTGCGGCGTTGATGGACGTGCGCGTATACACAAAGAGGAGTATCGCCATGGTTGCGGCCGCCATAGGCATAGTTAGGGTCTTGTTTGGGCTGTTAGTAGGGTCTGCGGGCAGGGGAGGAAGAAGCGCACTCGGGCATTCATGGGAGGCATCTTGGAAGCTTTCTTCAGTAATTATTTTGTTCGGATGTTTCAGTGCTTGAGAAACTTGAAGAGTATCTATATAGCTGTCGATATATCGCCCGATCGATGGTGTGATGTTGGGTGTAGGATCTTATCTGATGATGATAAGGGAATTCATAATAAATCACTCGGTGGCAACTCGTATCTTTTGCGCCAGCCAATCAGAATCTACGGCCTCAACCAGTTTTTAATTACAAACCATGCTATTACTAGGATACACTCTATGCGTATCTATTCACGCACTCCCTACTCTAGCTCTGTCTGTTTGCTGGTTCGGGCTTTCCCTTGCTCTTTCCATAATAAAATATCAAAAGTTATCTCTATAAAAGTCGGAATTAAATCTTGATACTGGCGTTCTTGAGGCATTGAGGGTGAGGGCGGTTGGTCTTGATACCAACTTCCATTCCATACTCGGCGCCGACGTAGAACACGCGGTCAGGATAGTTGGAGATGATACCACTATTTTGGTTAGTTATTATCTTAGGAAAAAGGTGCTTATATTGGGCAGAATGCTTACTCGACACCATCACTATGATAGGATTCATTAGCTTAAAATTGACGGCTCTCATTAGATAACAAAGGAAAACTTACAGAATCAACTTCTTAATAGTAATTTCGTAATCAACAGTCCAAGGGACGACTTGCATCCCAAGTTTGTGTGCCCGCTGTACAACATCTTTGGTGACAAAAGGTGTGTAACCGGGAGTGTTGGGGGTTTGGGATGAAGGGTAACCGTGGACTGGAGACAGGACAGCAGATCCAATGGACTTTGCAGCGGCGACCCAGTCGCCGTTAAAGCCATCAAGCTAAGAGAAAGGAAAAGTGAGTGCTTGAACTTGACTAAATCGACTGGAGAAAAATAATACGTTGATCCCGCCCAACCAAGGGTAGCCTGAGACACCACGGTCCTCAGGGATGACTGTGGTATCGTCTAAAAGCGCAACAATCCTAGTTTCCGGGAACTTTTCTTTAATTCCAATGAGAGTACGCCAATCAAAAGACTGGATATAAGTCCTTTTAGCCCACCCACGCCTCTCAAGGATAGGCACAATATCATCAATGTATTTCTCGAGAGCCAACGTCTCGTTGGGACGAATGGGGTCGATTTTGGTCTGTGATTCTTAGGATACCTCAAGTATATAGTTGAAGTCAAGGTGAATTACCTCCAAATTAATTTCAACCTTCTTATCGCCGTAGCAGTCGACCAAGTCAAGAACCTCCTCAAGAGTGGGGATCCTGGCCCCAGGATGTACTATTCTAATCAGTTACACATTCATAAGATCAAAAATGAGTGAGTTTTTACATTCTACTTGTTTGTGAAGATCAAGCTGCAGGCTTCCACAATCAAGGGACTAGATTTAATGTCAATAAGGGAAACTCATCGCTTAACGTAATCCCAATAGGTAATGTACCTGCACTTGTGCAAGTGTCAAGTTGGCAATAAACTAGACAATCCGAAGTTTACAGTAAGTAAATGTTCTCCGAAAGTAGACTGCTACTCAATTGAGAAACTTACCTGTCCAACGTATGTGGCATTGGGCTCAGTATCTTTGCACTTGGACGCCACAATTTGGTGATCGTGCCAGATCACGGGCTACAACACGATCAGTTTTGTAAATTTACGGGTAGATAAACCTCTCTACTTACAACACCATCTTTTGTAAACAACTTTCGCATGTCAGTAAGAAATAGGCTCTTTAGTATCATAGGAGACTTACAGTGTCCATTTCCAGGACATTGGCGCCACTCTCAAGAGCCTTTGCAAATGCCCACAAGGTACCTGCGTAGTAACAACTTATTAGCATTCTCGAATATAATATTGTACCGAGTACGGATTGTATATAGAACTTACTCTCTGGCCTGTACCCGAGCCCTCCTCTATGAGCTTGAACTTCGAGTTTCTTATCCCCCTTTTCACCGCTGTATGTCTTCGGAGTAGCATATACGCTCAATACAAGTCCAAGAGCTACCGCGAGTTTTGAGAAATGAACCATATTTGCCGATTTAGTCGAAAACCACGTTGCAGGTTAAAATTCTGGAAAGAGAAAGAGTGCACTGGACCTAGCGATAAAGAGAGCTGTGTATAAGCAATGGTAGTTCATAATTGAGGCGGAAAGCGCCCGCCTTTTGAACATAAAGTCGCATTGCTTTGAGGCAAATCTTTCTCCCGTGTAGCTTCATGGTTCCTGTCCCGTTCGCTCTTAGATCTAAATTTCTGGCCCGTGGGGAGCATCTTCTGTAGCACGTTCCTACAACGTTTTCTAGGCTGACAGGGTCCATAAAATACACTTTGATATCTTTACCGTTAAGAGCCAAATACAACCTCGCTTCGGAACATACCGTATATCTCCCGGAAGGGCTTGTGGGGGAGATAATCATTTTAATTGGACAATCTTGAATCTCACCCCTGTTCTCAACAGCTTCCTTTCGCACGTGAAATTAAAGAACTCGCAAGACCTCACCTGTGCCAGGTACGAAATACGGCAGCTCGATAAACGGAAGTTAATTGATCGATTGTGGATTCCACCCTACATACATATATCTTTTCTGATTCAAAGAATTTGTTGATTCACATCGAAACATACAGTAGGGGATACTGTGCTAGGAGCAGGTAATCTTCTTAGCAAATTAAACTATCGAATTTCGATGAGACCGAGCGGTGGCTTCATCAGTGGCTTTTATCGGGTAAATTCTACTCTAGCTCACAGCGGGACAACGTCATGTGACTCCGACATTATGGAGATCTTCAGGCACAGATTGTTGATAACGTCATCCACTAGAGTGCTCTACATGAAGTATGTACTTTTGGTAATAGCGAGGTGTTTATCTGGTCTTATAACTTGTACCTACATGTATCTACATGACAAGAAGTCAAATGCTCAACTTCACTCAACTCCCTAGCTACTAGATCTTTGGAAAAAATTGGATTCTTTGCTGCTTATTGCATCAACTTTTATTCCCCCCTGTGCTCAAAATAAAACTCTCTGACATACTGATAAATTTCTGTGGATAATCGTTCACACAACTGATAGGCAAACAAATTATGTCTATTCTTTGCTGCCGTCGAGGTGACCCAAACACTGTCAACAAATCAGTGTCACTGTCTCCTAAGATACTTGGTCGTATTACGACGCCCCGCCCTCAGACCTCACGTCAAAACATTGAGGCCTTTTACAACGAGGGTAGAGAGTTATTAAATACTCACCAGGAAGAAAGGGACAAATCTAGTTTACGGGATGAGATTAAGGAAGAATGTGAGATTTCGAAGAGATTCTATGAAGTTTTTAACTATTGTTGTTAGAATATCAGCTAAAAACTTCAGTACGGAATATTAGGACACCTGTTAATGGTGAAGAGGCGGCCTCTGCAGCTACGAAGAATTATAGGGAAATAGGGCACGGTCATGGGTATAAGAATCATACACCCTAAGCCATCCTTTGTTCGATTTTCGTAGATTCTGACGGAGAGATATTCTAGTACTCGCCGAGTATCAAAAGCATCCTCAGCAATTGAACTCCGTGGGTCAACTGTACCAGCCATTCCAGATACCAACGGAATTACAGTCCCTGCAAAATCAATGCCTGCTTTGACCAGTTCATTGATATCTGAGATAGTTAAACCCAGAACCGGACCCGTTCTAGAAAGCGACATCAATCACCATATTCTTTTAACCGCATCTTCCCTAGAGGAGACAAAAAACCCACCACTATCTCAAATATTCCCGGTAAATACGCCAGCTACAGTGACCCCGAAAGTAGACCATATAGCTGTGCCTTCCACTCCAGACTTGAGCCCTTATCTAATGCCTAGCATTGCTACTACAATCGCATCGATAAATGGTAAATCAAGATCAGGAATCACAATTCCTATTCCCGAAGATAACGCGGAGGCTGGGAAACTCTCATCGGAGCAGAATCTAGACAAAAAAGATGCTGAAACGGTGGATGAATGGCCAGAAGACTGCAATACTATTAAACCCGAGATCAGGCTTGGTAAGTCGATTATTGATCTATTCTCTTTTTGCAATTAAATGATAACAGTGGATAAGGCTGACGAGTAAGATGGCACTGCTGCCGATGATGAGGAAGTAACGACTGCAATTCTCGAGAGTTCGAGAAACACAAAGCATCGAGAAGATGTGAGTGGCAGTGATAAGACCGCGAGTAGGAACGATTTCACGCCCGATGAGATCTTCTCGAAAATACCAACATGGGTTAGGCCCTCAACAAGTACTTTTATGTCGTGCCCTTCTTCTCACGACCATAACCAAAAAGATGGCCTGGGGAGTTCTCCGAGTACAGGAAGCGCAACTCCAGAACTCACAAAGAGTAACTCTACTAGATTTTATTCCCCGTTGGAGGCAACAAGTGCAAACAGCACGGGGGTCAGTACTCCTGCTTTTGTTTGTCCCCCAACGCCCGGTTATGAGTTTCGGCCGTCCATTGATAATACTTCGTCCTTCTATCCATCTCCTGGAACCTCGCGTTGCGTATCTTTAGTTGAATCCGAGAGACGCACTCCAGAATCATCAGCATTGTCTGCGGATGCTGATGCCCACAGACTAAACCGGACTCCTCGACCTTCCGACATGATAATAGATTCGCCTGGAGGTTCGCTATTTAAGTTTCCATCGGTGAGCCGTAGTATGAATAAGTCGCCAGAGCCTATTACAAATGAGGCTGCTTTTACTAGAGGCAGCTCGCTTGCACACTTAAAAAAAGCACAGAAGAGGGACCGTGATCTCCAGCGGGCACCTGGAACAAGCACTGAAAGGTCTCAGGATGTCGTTCTCAACCAACATGGCGAGGTATGCGAAGACATTTACTTGGAGGACCGTGTCAAATCAATGCTTGAGACTCCTGGGAGCCTGCCAAATGCCCCAATAGATAAGGCTAGTTGGTACTATGATAATCTCGCGACACCTGCTCCGAAGAAGAAAGAAAAAACTACTACATGGGTCAGGTCAACTACTCGTGTAAGCAGTTTAACGATGCGGCAAGACAAAGTGAAGGACCCGAGAATCTGGGGCTCGCCTCACGGTAGGAGCTCCACCGGTTCAAAAAGAAATATTTTTAGTAACTACGGCAAAACCGAGAAAAAATTTTCTTTAAAGAATAGTATCTCTCTTGGTGAAAGAATGTGGGAACGTTCTAGTATCCGGGATAAAACCCAAGAAAAACTACGAAAAGCTACAGGTTCCGAGGTTTTGTCTAATCTCACGTCTGATATTGAAACTCTTGACGAAACCGAAGCGAGGAATTCCCGCTTAAAGTATAGGAGATCAAGAGCCATGATTCGCTCTAGGAGTATGACACTTAGGAGGACATTTACAAATAGCATCGCAAAGCTTAGAGGAAAAGTGAGTTTTAATGAGAGTTCAAGAGGGACAATCATGCCTCCTTCACCTAGGGGCAAGCAAGCAAACAAAGATGGTTTTTATCAAGGGCATTGTAACGAAAAAAATTTATTTACTCAAAGCCCTGAGACACTTGGTGGAAGGAATAAGTTCGGTATTTCTGGATCGGATGTGTCTAGCATCATATTTCGACCATCCCTACCCAAAGAGATGTTAGAACATCAGAGCAGTACAGAGCTTATCAAAAATATATCCCCTAGAGATGAAGATATTGTTACAAAAAATGAAATCGCGGAGCCGTACGTCGAGTCTTCTTCCTATCATGGCGTACATTCACATAGGATTCCTGATGACCGAAGTGTGTCTGACAAGCCTGGACTTAAAAGTTTGATTGAGGAATCAAATAGTAGGCCTAGGCCATGGAGTACCCTATACGATGATTGTGTGACCTTGCCGTTTGGTGGTGATGATATAGGGGAGGGAAGTGAAGATGCTGAGAGCGATAGTGATGTTGATACACAATCAAGTGGGCCTTTCAGAGTTGGCGATAGGAATACGGAGGAAATCTGGCGTGATGCAAGAGAATCTTTGGAGATCACAGCTTGATGAATGATTAATTGCAAAACTAGTTTGCACATATCATTTCATCTGGGAATAATCGATGAGTATGGCATAGATAAGACTTTGATGGGGGGGGGGGGTAATTGTTAATATTCTTTGAATCGTTGGCTTGGGGAAAATCCCATGCTACAATTTGCTTCGATACTGGCTGTATCAAAGTGGTAGAGGTTACTGTCTGATAAAATTGCACCAGTAATATTGGTTTTATGAGGGTTTTTCTTATTTCATTTTGTTAAGTTAATGCTTAATTGGCTGGCAAATGAACTGCATTGAAGTTTTCAGAGAAATTTTTAGAAAATTACATTATTAAAATCTCTGATAATTTCTCAATACGTATCTGCGATTGGGCAAAATGACGTTCATTGTTTCATCTCGATCATTTCTAGACTCCCATGTCCAAGTTTGGATCAGATCCCAGTTTATATTGGGCGAATAGGTCACTCCAGACTTGGCTCGTTAGGCCTATAGGATTGATCAAAATACTTAATAAAAGTCCTACAATTGCAAATGGATATATAGGTATCTATATATCAATCTAATTACCAATTCAACGCCTTTGCATGTACGACCTCAAATCTCTCCAAAAACTCCTTCATCTTTGCATATTCCTTGAAGCCCTCTGTCTTTGCAAATTCATGATGATGCTCCACCGTCTTAAACCCCGAAAACTGAACCCATTCACCGCCAATACCCTCTTCAACACCATCAATTCTCCACCCTCCAACCAATGGGTACGGCTCCGTGAAATCTTTGAGATGATGTGAATTCTCTCCCCACACCTTTGCGAAATCTTCTTTATGACCAGCTTTGACAAAGTGCCGGGCAAAAGCGACGCAAGGTGCACCCAGCGGAAGAGTTGACTTATCCATGCCGGCATGAAAAAGAAGATCAACATTGATAAGATCTTTTAGCTCCTCGAGGAGTGCCAAGTTCTCTGTTGAGGGGAGAAAAGTGTGATGGGCTTCCACAGAGGTCCAGGAGCCCAGGAGATGAAGAATCTGGGGGTTCTCAATTTGCTGAAAGAGAGAAAACTGGGCACCAGAAGGTGCAGAGGCTTTGTTCAGAACCTGTAGTGCATTCTGGAGACCGGATTTTAGTGAGGGGGTGTCACTGGTGTGAGGAGATTTGATAGAGAGGATGGCATATTCAAGGACAACCATTTTAGAGATTGTACGATGTATGTATGTAGATATATGTGATTTTAATGTCGTAATGTCGATGTTAGCTTAATAGCATTTCCTTGGCCGGGGATTGAGGTTTATATAACCTCATAGATTGACTCATGAGCTCAATTTGTAACTTAGCGTTCGCAACTCGTATTCGGAGAAACAAAATCCCCTGCACGTCAGGGAATACTCTGGTAGAATCATGTTACACAGGGCTAAACGGGGATGATTGATCAGGAAGTTATGCATGTAGATTTTCCGTACTTATCCGTAGGCCTTGTCGATAAACCGGAGGCATTATGAAACCTACATACTTGTATACCAAATCATTGATACCTCCTAGACTGAGTGTTAATATGTACTTTCCATGATCTATACCCCCTAGGTTTGAGTTTATTTGTCAAATGGGAATTCACATTACTTCTACAGTACCAATAACCGGTACACCTATCTTCATTTATAACACACGAGTATAGTACAGTCTCAACATATGTGAGGAGCATTATCATGGATAAATAACAATTGGTGCTTACATGTAGTTATATCTAAATTCCTTGACTTGTTCATCAATTGCAAAGAGGTCTTAAGATATTCGGATATCCAAGATCTAGATCACTGAATTGAGCTTCTTCAACGGTCCTAGGAATTCCTGGCGGCCTATAGTCTGCTCAGGGCCGTGTTAAGAGTAGGTACATATGTATGTACAGTATTTTCTGGGTAGATGGCGAACCTGGTCAATGGCAATCAAATGATCAAACCGGCGTAATTACGTAAATGGTGTAAGATCATGCTGCCTCGCCCGGAAAGAATGACTCGCGCTTCTATAATTTCCTTATTTGGTATTTATTCTTCTTCTATTGCGATTTATTTTCTTTATCCTGCATGTTTATTCCCTTCTTAAAAGTCGCTCCAGATATATCTAGATCATGAAAACAACTGCAGGCGTTGCAACGGGGCGATTTTTCACTGAACGCTGAATTAGTACTTGTTTGTTTTTATTAATAGTGGAGATATGGCCTAGGGACACATCCCACTGGCCATTGAATTTGGCCGACCAATAAGAATTCGCCATGTAACCGGGTTCAGGGATCGGAACCGCAACCACGATAACTATTGATGATCGATATCATGTACGATCGATTCCAAGTGCAGTATAAAGAATCACGAAAATATACTTTTCAGTAGACCGACAACTACCTATATTATAGCATCTATCGAAGACTAAGCCCTTGCTTCTACGCTATCAAAGTTTTACTCGAATTATAAGTCAAATCTTCAGCTTCCCCCTTTTTCGCCCTTAAGCTCAACTCCGCAGAATAGCTATTGATAATGGATTTTCTGCGCACCGCTGGCATTGTGCCTCTCACAAGAGATAATTGGGAGCTTTTGATGACTTACTGGAAATATTTCACTCTCGTACCTCTCCCTCTCGAAATCTCACCATCAGATTCAGATCCATCTAATGCCGCATAGATATGCCCCACGCAACTAATCTTGAAAGACTGGTACCCCATGGGAAAGACCTCCTACGAGTCTATTCTCAATGTTCCTGGTAGTTTTCCCCACTGGTAGCTTTCTACAACATATCCTAACAACCCTTTGTATAGGTAAACCTGCCTGGATTTTAATGGAGCTTGTCTCTCCGCTCACCATGCTTTACACGGTTTTTACGAACCCCGAACGAGCGCAACCGCTCTCCTATATTCATCTCTGGCTAGTAGCACTCTACTGTCTTCATTACGCTAACAGAGCGCTCATCGGCCCTCTTATGAACCATTCAATGGCACCTATAAATATCATCCTCCCCATCGGAGCTGCTTTCTTCAACCTGATGAACGGCAGCTTAATTGGTGGGTGGCTTGGCGGATATGGCTCTGCTAAACATGTGCCGATGTGGCAGGTGATCGCTGGAAGTATTTTGTTCGTAACAGGACTGTTTGGAAACGTGTACCATGATGAGGTACTTAGAGAGATTCGAAGGGATAATAGGGTGGACAAAAATGCAGAGAAAGAAGGAAAAGTTGTTGTAGACAATGGCAGGGTTTACAAAATCCCAGAGGGTGGCCTCTTCAGATGGGTTTGGCACCCACATTACTTTTCAGAATGGGTGGAGTGGTGTGGGTATATGATGATAGGCGGGGGGTTTTCGAGCTTTAGGCCGGCAGGGCTGTTTGTGGTTAATGAGGTTGCAACTATGTTGCCTAGGTAAGACTTTTGCTTGATATAAAAATAACTGTGGCTGACTTTCATGTAAAGAGCGTTGCAGGGGAAAAGATGGTACTTGAACAAGTTTGGAAAGAATGTGGTGCCTGACAGGAAAGCTGTCATACCAGGCGTGATCTGATGATTTGGTGTAAATTACATGTACACATCTAATTACACCGAGTGCGATAGATAGCAACAGAGAAGAATAGGAAGGATATGGGTAATTGACCCATGAGGAATCGGTAGGAGGGATACATGTATGCAAGTAACAGTGTTTCAAATACTTCCAGAAGAAATGACGTAATTTAATAAGTGAATCAATAGAGTGCCAAAAAGGTGATGTGATGGATACATGTAGTATTAATGTGTAGTAATGTGAGAATGCAGAAACAAGGGCACCCTAACCAGAAAACCATATGAAAAATATTAAGAAATGCGTGGATTTGGCAGTATTTATTAAGCGGTACCCGTTCCGCTCGTTTTGTTGATACTGTGTCATCCATCGGGAAGTGCCTGTGAAATCTAAAATAAGAAAGAAGGTTTATGCAGCCTTTGACAGATTCAACTTACCGCTTCGTAAAGTCAATCCCTAAAACACTCCCTCTTGCCCATACGTCTCCGCAACTTATTCGAAATCTTTTCCCTCCTGGCCTTGTACACCATCCTAACACGTCTCCAAGCTTTTCCAAGATGGCGCAAACCCTTCGGAGGTTCTTTCTTGCTCCTTTCCATGGCCAAGATTGCATCCACGCCAAAGTTTAGCGTCATGACTTTGTCTCTGATATCTGATTGGATGATTAGAGATTGTTCCTCCATTTTCTGAAGTTCCAACTGCACCCGCAAAATCGCCAAAAGAAGTCCTCCGATCTCTTTATAATCAATGGCGAGTTTACCAAACGACATTTGGTCCCTGGCAGCAAAATACCCCTTGATGTCCGCAAACAACTTTTCGAATAATTGCACCTCTTGCCAAGCTGACTTGATATCGACATCAAGCATGGTGTTCAAACTCATAAACTCGTCCAGGGGTTCGTTCAGCCTATACTGGATGATTTCGATCTCAGAAAAGACATTTCCGGGGTTGGGTTGCTCATGCTTGAGACGCCCCACCAAATTCTCTAGATGTATCTTTTGAAGCTCAACTGCTTCAGCCTTCTCATCCAGAGCCGACTGGATGGCGTCTCTGTGGAAGGTAAGTTGGTTCCTCATTAGATCTCGGGTGAGTACATTCTTGGTGCTATCGTTGCCATACTGAGTATCGGCCCATTGGGTGATGAGTTTATCGAGTGGTTGGTGCCAATATGAACCCTTGGATGAGAGAAGATCTGTAAGCGAACGGAGGGTCATCTGGTCCTCCGTCATTGTGGCTTGTTTGCCTTGATTCAGGGGGGGCTGTGGTGTTTTGGATTGCTCTGGCAGTTTGGAGGATGACTTTGGGAAAATGAGAGAAGAAAGAAGAAGGAAATTTCGAGAGCGGATCTTATCCTACGGATGGCATTTGGGAGAAGTTCGGTGAGCTCGAGCTTACAATAACCATAACTTATCCAGTGCGATATTTGGTAGCGACTAGTGCGCGTGTTTCAGGCATCTCAATAGTATGGCTAGGTTGGATAAGTTGATCGATCTTTCAAAGCTGCCTACCTATGCCCCAGAACAGACGACATATAATGGTTATAAACTACATGTATACAAAGTAAGCCATCGCTCCCTTGCTCCCGAAATATTTGTTGATAATTCGCTCGTTAATAAGTAAGTATTCGCCCAACAGCTATATACGTAGCTGCTCAATGAACAAGTTTTGTTGCAGCAACAGTGTTAGGCACGAGTCATCTGGCTAATATTGGAGCTTCAATACCTAGTGCGGGCTTTATATCGCCCAAGCTGAGCCAGCTCGGAACTTATCCGTAGAAAGATCGAACCCAGGCTCGAGCTTTATAATTTATGAACTGTGTGTTATACGCCAAATAGCCCATCTAAAGTCTCGCCTCATACCTTTGCAAGAATTCACAGTCCGGATTCATCTCAAATTTCACAGAGAGAGATCTAATTTTAGGTCTCAAAAAGGGGGCTCGAAGCTAAGCTCGAGCCTACCAGGTTCGAACATCTCAAGGTAAATGTTTACACGAGCCAGTCCGTGCCCAATGTCAATATATTAATCGAATCCAATTACCACTTTAACAACTTCAACGTCATTCATTTTTTAAGGTTACTCCGGCATTTCTACACATCCATAACCAGTAAATCGAGATATACAACCTCGTCGAAACTATCTGCTGTCTCCCTCACCTTAGGACATTCTAAAAATTGATAAGTATCCAGTTCATACAACAATACTAACAAACCAATGTGTTAGACGGTTTATCAGCATTTTAAGCATTCCTACAACTCATGACTGGAGCGTCATTAGCCGAGTGATATATTATGATTAAGAAATCAATCCTACTGCATAAATTTTGTCCCACCAAAAGGAGGGAGTCACTAATACCCCCTGTAACAGCAAATTAACACATTATATACGCTTCAAATAATCCTGATGCGATATTAAGTCCTTGTTCGTTTATATTCATGCGCCGATAATGCAAACTCGAGCTCTTAGAGGTTTGGTAGTATGTACAGATATAGATAGACACCAAGGACAAGAATAATACGTTAATTGTCTCAGATAACATTCGTATATAGATTGCAATTGCCTCTCAGATATATATATTCGAGTATTCAACTACTTGTACCTATTAGCTACCTGTATGTCATCTATGGATTTAGAGCTCGAGCGCTCTACAGTCCGCACCTATTTAGCGCAATACCCCCAAAGGGATTGGGAATGTAAAGACCTATTATTGATCAAATCGTGAACCCTCCCGGCAGATGCCTATAGAAATCCTATAACGCCTAGCAATATCTTAAACATCATCTATGGTTGATAGACTATAGCTGCTTCTCTGTTATAGAGCTATTTTCATTTATTGTATCGGTAACCCCATACTTGACCATTCACTGCTCTTTGATCTTTTATCTTTTCTTTAACTTCAGTTACATGTATCTATAATATATCTTGGTTGGAAAAGCAAGATGTATTGTAATGGAATCCGAATCATTATAGTATGAATGAGAAAGCCGACGTCTCCTTAAAGCTGCCATATTTCGTATGTATCTAGTTGCTCAGATAGGAATGTGCAGTCTAGTGCTAGCTGGCCATAGCCAGATGATATAGATACTTATGTATACATGTATGTATGTATCTTATAGATACGTTAATTCTACTGGCGCCCTTGACAAGTATTCTCATACCCAGTTACAGTGCATATATGTCATGAAATTCAATCGCAGTATGTTAAACCCCGACAAGATAACTGAATTCTAGACTAGCTCGTACGACCACTAAAATCGTCTATGTATGTACTAATTATTTGGCCAGTACCCCAAAGGCCAAGACAAACTACAACTAGGGTAAGGGGCTTCTCCCTGGTTCTGTAAAAAGTATAAATTACCCCTCCCCCTCACACTCCTCTTCCTTCTCTACATATTACACGATCCTCAACATACCCTTGCATAGACCAGTTTTTCCTCAACGTCCAATTGCAAATTTTAGTACAGGATCCAGATCAAACAAAAACGCCTTTCATAATTCTCGCAATTTGTTATTCCCACGGGTTTCGAGATTCGCTTCTGGCGCATATCCCCCCTAGGCTTCACATGTGTAATACTATACATCTATTTGAGATATATGGAGAATGAGAATAAGGAATGATAATCAAAAAACCTTAAATTTTTTAAACTTCGCGATAACTTCCGTATTGCGTGGCCCATCATCTTCTTGGCAAAATTCCATGCAAAGAGCTTTTTTTCGTTGCATGTCAACCGTGAGCCTGGGAAGAAGAGCATATTCCAGCGATGCAGGCTTCTCACCGATTGAGTGATTTTACCTACCCCCAGCAGGGAGCCCCGTAGGTAGAATGGAGTAACTTTCCATCGTATGTAGGGAAGCAAAGAGAAAGACAACAGTGCGCATCGCGGCCAGAACCCCGGAACCCTATGGAGTGGTTACAAAATACTTGATAATCGGCAGTGATTTTCGGTTACTGGGTTGTGCTTTACCTATCGAGAAACATGTTTCTCTTTGGTGCTAGGATCGTTTCTCCAGGTTGAAGGAACAGCAGTGTACGATTCCTGGCTGTCAAGGTCATGGTATTAAAAATTACAAACAAGATGTGCATAAAAAAGGTAGTTGGTAAATCCAAACAAAAATAGTTAACAAGCATTTTAAACCAAAACTCCCACAAAAAAAAACAGCGCTCAAAAACAGAAAAACTCCGGCTTCAAATTAATAAGTGATAAAAATAAATGTCCAGCTACGTAAGTACACATGTAGCCAGCTCTAACTCTATGGTCCGTAAGCTCATCAGATATAATAATGCAATCTTGTCCAATTTCGACTTTGCAGCCCCTCCTCTTAATGCCAATCTAGGTATCTTCACCAACCACGGCCAACCACCAACCACCATGCAACTAAAATCAAATCAAAAAAACACAACTGGGCGAGAAAAACTCCGTTTCTATGTGAGAATACATAGATGATACATGTAATGACAGATTAGTAAACCAACTTCTGTCAATATGCATGGGAGAAAAAAAAAAGAAAGAAAGATGTCAACTAGATGTAAGATGTGCGTGCCAACACCAAAACAGAACATTATTTTTGTCAAAAAAACAAAGTAAAAAGACATAAGTAACAACCCCCAAAACACCGTTTTTATAATAATGCAGCCTGAAACCTGGTAACAAAAAAGAGACAAATAAGAAAATGGGAAAGGAGGGGGGGTATAACAAGTACTTTTGAAAAAATGCATGTCAATTAAGACACTGTTCAAGTCGAGAGACGACGATGTTGAATAAAAAAGAGAGAAAAAAAAACACCAATGAATGAGAGTCAGAAAATAACGCTAAAAATAAAAGAAAAGAAAAGAAAAGAAAAAGAACCCATAATGCACCCTAATGTTAAAGAAAAGAATGTGTGTTAGTATTCCATCCTCCACACAATACTTCCCACCTCATCCCATCCTAAGGCTCACACTACTAGCGCCCACTCCACCTCTAGCCGCTCCAGGTGTCATTAACCCCATTCCAAGTCCCATAGGTCCC